CATATCTCTTCATTCTCTTGGCTGTCCACGGGATGCTCAGTGCTCTTCTCCAATGCCACAGCTCAAAGGCATCAATTCTTCTGTCATCCTTATTCATTGTCCAGCTCTCACACACATAGCAAGTGATCCGAAAGTGGCCTGAATCAGATACATCTTAGTACTCAAACTGACATCATTACTCTTCAATAATTTGAAGAGGTCCATAATTGCAAATTTTCCCAGTGCAATGTGTCTCCTTATTTCCTGACTGCTGGTACCAAGGATGTTAATTGTGGATCCAAGCAAGATGAAGTTGACAGTTTCAGTCTCCTCTCCATCCATCAAGATGTCATCTATCAGTTCACTAATTGTAGAGCGAAACAAGAAGAAGCTGTTGATAGTTTTGATGTCCTCTCCACTCATCATGATGTTGCCTGTTGGTCCAGTGGTAAGAATCTTTATTTTCTTGACATTGAGATGCAATTCATACTGAATGCTGCATTCCTTGATCTTCTGCAACAAGTCCTCCTCACTTTCAGCAAGCAAGGTTGTGTCATCTGCATAACACAGGTTATTGATGAGTCTCCCTTCAATCCTGATGCCACACTCCTCCTCACGGAGTTCAGTTTCTCAGATAATTTGCTCAGCATATAGCACATAGAGCATATAGATTTCCAGTCTATGCCAGGAAATTTAGAGGACAGCTGGCTGGCCAACAGATTGGAAGAGGTCCATATTTGTTCCCATTCCCAAGAAAAGTGATCCAGTTGAATGTGGAAACTATTGAACAATATTAATACCACATGTAAGCAAAATATTACCAAAAATCATTCAAGAACAGTACATAAATAGGAAAATTCCAGAAGTTCAACCAGGATTTAGAAGAGGTTGTGGGTGGCACCAGCGATATTGCTGATGTCAGATGGACCCTGGCTAAAAGTAAGGAACACCAGAAGAATGTCTATTTATGCTTTATTGACTATGCAAAGGCATTTGACTGTATGGATCATAACAAGTTGTGGATCATAACAGGTTGTGGCTGACATGGATAAGAATGGGACTCTCAGAGCTCATGGAGAACCTGTACTTGGACCAGGAGGCTGTTGTACAAACAGAACACAGGAACACTGCATGGTTTAAAATTGAGAAGAGAGTGCAGCTGTGTTGTATTCTCTCTCATGATCACACCTTAGTGGATGTGAAATGAGAGAATGATTTCTACACATTCAAAAGCAACCTGGAAATAATAGCGAACACCCTTGGAATTAAAGATGCCAGGCTGTAGAAAGAAGCATATATACCCACTGGCTCTCCCAGATGAGGATGCCATGGGTGACTCAGTGACATCTATGTGGGAAGATGACAACAAGACAAAATGTTGTCGTGTACTGTCAAGTTGAAACTGACTCATAGCACACCTTCAAAGGGTTTTCAGAGGCAGCAATTGAACAGGAGGAATACCTAAGAACAAGGTGTGATCGCCTACACTACAAGTTTTAATGGAAGAAGTGTTAATTCAAGTGAGGAAGACTTGAAACACTTACTAAAGAAGATCAAAGACTACAACCTTTAATATATATATATATATATTCAGCATCATGAAAACAAAAATCCTGGCCAATCAGCAGTGTCATGATTGTTGTTAGTTGCCGTTGAGTTGAGAAGGACTCATAGCCCCATGAACAACAGATCTGAACCCTGTCCTATGAAAAGTCAAATTTCATACCAAATATTATATGAAAAACCATATGCTTGTTCAGGAATTGAAGGAATTACAAATTTATAAGTTAGGATTTCTCTTGTGACAGATTACATAAAATGAGCTGTTTCCTGCAGACAAGAGACAGCTAGGGCCTCCCTACAGAGGGAGTGTAAATATCTGTGAAATACTTCCTTTCGGAGCTAAAGCATTAGGTTGACAAGAGAGAAAAATTTGGCTTCATTTACAAGAGAATTCTCTTTATGATAATCCCCTGGTATCAATAAATACAGAGAAAGGCGTGCCTTGAGAGGCTTCAGTCATTGGAACTGCTGGCTCTGTCTTTTACACTCTCTGTTTTATCTCATTCCTGGTTGTCTGTCTCACTATTAATAATTATAAAAATACTTACTCCTCGGTCTGCAACACTGTCCCTCTGACACACTTAAGTCCATTGCACCAATCACTGTGTCACTACGTCTGGTTGAAGGTCTCCCTCTATTTCATTGACCCTCCATCTTTCCAAGCATGATGCCCCTTTCTAAGGAATAGCCTCTCCTAGCAATATGCCCAAAGTATGTGAGACCAAGCTTTTCCATCCTTACCTCCGAAGAGCATTCTGCCTACACTTTTCCCAAGACATATCTGTTTGTTTTTTGACAGTCCATGGGATGTTCAGTGCTCTTCTCCAACACCACAACTCAAATGCATCATTTCTTCTGTCATCTTTTCTCATTGTCCAGCTTTTATATGCATAGCAAGTGATTTAGAAGATCATAGTCTGAATAAGGCACACATGAGTCTTCAAGCTGACATGATTGTTCCTTAGTTATTTGGAGAGGTTACTGACTGGTATATCTCCTGATATCCTGACTGCTGGTACCTAGGCTGTGGATTGTGGGCCCAAGTAGGATAAAATTATTAACAATTCCGATCTTTTCTCTATCCTTCATGATGTTGCTTATTGGTCCAGTGGTGAGGATTTTTGTCTTCTTGATGTTGAGCTGCAATTCATATTGAAGGCTATAGTCTTTGATCTTTTGCAGTAATCATTTCAAGTCCTCCTCACTTTCAGGAAGCAAAACTGTATCATATGCATACTGCAGTTTATTGATGAGGCTTCCTCCAATCCTAGTGCCACATTCATCTCCATAAAGTCCAGCTTCTTGAATGACTTGCTCAGCATAAAAATTGGATAGGTATGAAGAAAAGAGTACAATAATTTCCTCTTTTTAAACCATGCAGTGTTCCCTTATTCTGTTCTGACAAGAGCATCCTAGTCTAGGTATAGGTTTCATATACTTAGGACTCAGTACTTGAAGGAAGAGAGACATCATCCTGGGAAAAGTAGAAGGTCCATGAGAGAGAGCAAGGCCGTCAGTGAGGTGGATTGACACAGTGACTATCCCACTGGGCTTGAGCTGGACAGAGACCATGAAGAAGGCATAGGCTAGGACAAGGTTTGGATCTGCTGTTCACAAGGTCACTGAGTCTAGTCAACTTGATGGTGTCTAACAAGAGCAACAACACAGAGTAACTATGAGTTAGAATTGACTAGATGACAGTGTTAGGGTTTTTTTTTGGGGGGGGGAGGGCAAAGGGTTTTCTATTCTCCCTCTGTCTCTGTATTTAACACACCAAGAAGTTATTTTCTGTTTACCTACCTCTTCCCTTCACTGGACTATGACCCACCTGAGAGTCCAGAGAGTATTCTCATTATCACTCTACCCTAGTGCTGAGCGGAGCCCCAGACTTGCTGGGATCCACTTTCTCTCGGGAGGGCTGTTGCTGTAAGAAAGAACAGTCTTCATTACTAAAAAGAAGAATTAACATTAGGATCTATTTACAAATAGAGTTTTACTTTAAGTGGCATCTTTACAAATATTTGTTTTTAAAAACTCATCAGTGAAAACAACTATGAAATATCATCTCACCACAGTAAGAATAGCAAAATTTAACAGAACAGCAAGCATCAAATGCTGGCGAGGTTGTGGAGAAACTGGAACCCTTATTCACTGTTGGTGAGAGTGTAAAATGGTGCAACCACTGTGGAAGTCTTTATGGTGCTGTCTCAAAAAGTTGCAATACCATTTGACCCAGCAATTCCACTACTGGGAATTTACCCTAAAGAAACCATAACCACCACCCAAGCAGATATATGCACACCCATGTTTATCATGGCTTTGTTCACAATAACAAAGAGCTGGAAACAAACCAAGTGCCCATTAACAAACAAACGGATAGAGAAGCTTTGATATATTCACACAGTGGAATACTATGCTGCATTGAAAAACAAGGAACTCATTAAATATTATGCAAAAAGGATGACCCTGGTGGACATTATGATGAGTGAAATATCTCAGTCATGAAAGGACAAATATTGCATACTGCCACTGGTGTGAAATGGGACTGATATTGGGGTTAAGGGAAGGCAGAGAAGGAGGAGATGAATCATGTATACTGCATTCAAACAGATGAGGGAAAGAACTGTTTAAAAGGGATATATGATTGGGTATTATTGTCACGATAGGAGTCCAGAATAAAGGCTGCACAGTGGAGTGGACTTGGGGGGAGTTTGCATAACAATGAAAGAGTTTTTCTTATACTTTTCAAGAAGAAGAGTGAATTAGGGGGAGGGGGTGGGCATGGAGAAAAGTGCAACAATGAATGACTGGAAACCCTAAGTCTCTGTAAACTTTCACTAAAATTAATTTTAAAAAAACACACAAAACAGCACAACTCATCCATGAGAGAATCTAAGATCTGAAGTCTCCTCCCCTAAGGAACCCTCAAGAGTCACCTTGTCTTGGGGGTGGGAGACAGTTTTCAAAGTGGCATTTTAAAAAATTATTTGCTTTTAAAAATATAAGAGTGGGGAGCTCTTGTGGCCTAGTTGGAAGAAGCTGCACTGCAATCCCAAAGACTCATGGTTTGAATCCACCAGAAGCTCTGCTGTAGAAGGAGGGGCAATCTTCTCCTCTGCCTGTCGGATTCAATTCCACCACACACACACACACACACACACACACACACACACCCCACGTATGAGAGAGACAATCTAGCATCTTGAGCCTCCCAATCCAACAGTCTCTCAAAAGTTAAGACGAAGTGTCAGGAATGATCATGACTAGAAGAAACCTTGTGCACGTGGCTTGGAATTTTCTACTTTAGTGACCGGAGGAAAACGCACACCTATCTTGCATCCGCCTCCTCCCGCCCTACTTGGCTGCCCTGAGCCTGCACCTTTGCTCGGCTCCGCCCAGTCCTCTTGGCTGTGACCTCTTTGTCCATCTGCCACAGAGCTGGCTCTGGCTGTGCAGAGATGGGGCCACCCCGGCCAGGGCTCTGGCTGAAGAGACTCTGGGTATTCTTGCAGGTGGCCCTGCATGTGGCTGTGGGCAAAGTGCGAATGACACTCTTCCCTGAGAAGGTCAAGCAGAACATCTTGGCCCTATACCCCAACTTTAACTATGACGTGTGGGGGCCAACCTTCTTCAGTATTCCATACTTCTGGTTCATCCTCAAAGTCTATTGGCAGAGATTAGAAGACGATGCCAAGCAAGGGGGTCTGGCCCCAAACTGCCCGGTGATTCGCCTCTCTGGCCAAGAGTGCAACATTTGGGACTTCATGAAAGGTCAGTAGGTGAATACCATCTTGAGGGATGCTTAGGTTGAGGGTGGCCAGAGTGGGGGATTGTGAACAGGAAAGTCTTGAATTATTTTCCTGCTGCTTCCACTACTCCTTCTTTGACTTCTAGCTTGAATGTAGGAATTCTCTTGGATTGCCTCTTTTTCTTTTCTACAAGTCAATCAGTCTTCTCTTTCCTGGACACTGTTTTTGTCTTATAGTAAATCCTGCCTGGGATTCATTCATTCTCATTCTCATTCTCTCTCTCTCTCTCTCTCTCTCTCTCTCTCCTCCCTCCCAGGTTAACTGCTATTCATTCTTAAGACTTCTGCTTAACGACATTTCCTTCAAGAAGCCTCCCCCAACCCTCCAGACTAAGTCATCCCTCCTATGTGCTTCAGTCACATTCTAAGCTTTTCCTTATTACACATGGTGTAGAATTATATGTGACTATTTGATTAAAGTCTGCCATCCCCATAACCTCCAAGGAGGGCAAAGGCTGTAATTCTAATCCACTAATGTATCCCCTGGGCCTGATGCTGTATTTGGCCCATGGTTGGTGCCCACTGAATACACACTGACCTCTCTCTCTCTCTCTCTCTCTTTCCTTCATTTTTTCTTTCTCCTCTCTAAGCAGACAATCCAATCTACCTACTTGGGTTCTTAAGGACTTCTCTTCCCTCAGTTTTCTATTTTTCATCCACACACTTCTGGGCACTCTCTTTGCTTCCCTGCTGCAGAGGTGGTCCTGGGTGCAGAGAGATGGGGCTGATGGACCTACCCCGGTGAGGGCTTCTTCTTCCCTCCCTTGTGCTCTCTTCCAGCTCTGCTTGGGAAAAGCTGTCAGATCACTTTTCCAAAAATACATATCTGACTCACAGGTGCACCCAGCTTGATAACAGGTCTCTTCTGTGTTCAGAACTCAGAGCAGGCTCAGCCTTGTACCCCAATTTCATCTCCCAGCTTCACCTCACCTTCATTTCCTCTAGTCCAGCTGAACCCCCTGTTGGGCCTTGTTCAGCCCTACAATTTCTCTTACACCTTTGCATTGGCTTGTCTGAAATACCCCTCCCCTTCATCATCCCTCTCAACCTTCCAGCTCTCAAGTCTCCTTTAAGGAATTTTCTCAGGACCCTGGAGGCAGGCATGCACTCTCTCCACCTTCTCCTGACTTCCTGCAGGGGCCTCTCCGGGACACTGATTTCCTACCCAGAATCTGACTACCTAAGACTTACCTTCTGATGGAGAGGCACGTGACAGGGCTTATGTCTAGTTCTTATCTAGATTCCTCAGCACGCTTTGTCCAGGGCTTGGACACTGCACATAGAGAAGTTCTCCAAGGAATTTCTGTAACTTAATACTTTTCAAAGCTTCTTCCTTGGTGCCCAAGCCCCACAGCTATGCTGTATTACACCGAATTAAGAAGTGTGGCAAGCCCTGCCATGCTAGATGCCCCTCCTGGGGAGTCCTTCACAGCTGCATTCATGACATCTGAGAAACACACACCAGACTTTCTGGAGCATGGGGAACAGATGAACCCCTGAAACTATTGCCCTGAGATAATCTTTAAAATTTAAATAAAATACATCCCTTGAAATCATCTTAAACCCAAATAAGAGTTCAGCTTACTTCAGTTGCTCCTTAGAGGCAAGGATGGTGAGACTTCATTTACATACATGCTTTGGTCATATTATCTGGAGGGGGCAGTCCTTGGAAAAGGGTATCATATTTGGGAAAGGAAAGGATCAGCAAAGGAGAAGACCCTCAGTGAAATGGATTGGCACAGTGACTGCAGCAAAGGGCTTAAGCCCAGCAGAAACGGTGCGGATGGCACAGGGTCAGGCAAGGCTTTGATCTGGTGTCCACAGGGCTTCTGTGAGTCAGAGTCATGCAAGAACACCTAGCAACAGCTAACAGACACACACAAATCTGACTTGAGCATTACGTTCTTTAAAAACTCATCTGTAAGGGATCAAATTAGCAACAGTAAGTCAAAAGACAGTCAATGAAAGTTTGGGAGCTGTGAGTTCAGAGTTTACAATGAGGAAAGACGAGCTCAGAAAAGGAGTGTTAGGACAATTGCACAACTTGCAGAATGTAATCAGTGTCAATGAATTACACATGCAGAAACCGTTGAATTGGTGAGTGTTTTGTTGTGTATATTCTCAACAACAACAAAATGTTAAAATAAACCCCCTAGCCATTTCTATATCATTAAGAGACACCTTTAGAGTAAAATTATATTCTATGTGTTTAAAATGAACACATTTTATTATTATTATTGTTGCTGGGGAGCATTGCGTCAAGCTTTGGTTAGTAGTGCGTTTCTGTAATACGTCAGGCTATAATCCAAAGGTTGATAGTTTGAATCCACTAGCTGTTTGCTCTTGGGAGAAAAATTGAGTCTCTTCCTGTAAATATTTACAGCTTCAGAAGCCCAATGGAGGGTCATTATGAGTTGCAAACAACAACACAGTAGAGGGTAGTATTTGCAATGACAGTTCAATCCAGAAGTGGGGATGGGGGTGGTGACAGAGAAAACCTTATGCAAATTTAGAAAAAGAATTTCCAATTTAGATACTTTTATTAAAAGAAAAATGTATAATGATAAATAAAGTATGATTAAGCTTTTTGGGTTTATAAGTCAGGGACTTCTTTTATAAAAAACTTTTCCCTTTTATTTATTCACTCATGTACATTTTCTCCTCCCTTTCTCCCCCTTCCCCTAACCACACCTGCAATATATCCCTTGTTCCAGATATGAAATGCATAATTATATATTCCTTTTGGATAGTTCTTCCCCTCATCTGTTCTAATGCAATGTTCATTATCTATCTACTTTCTGCTCATTCCTTCCCAAACTCTCATAGCTGTCCTATTTTAGAACAGTGGTGCTATGCAGTATGTATCCTTTTATGACTGAAATATTTCACTTAGCATAATGTCCTCAAGGTTCCTTCACGTTCTCTAATGTTTTGCTATGTTTTTCAGTGCTGTGTAGTATTCCATTTTGTGACTATACCATAGTTTTCCTATCCATTCATTTGAGGGACACTTGGGTTGCTTCTATCTTCTTTACTATTGTGAATAAAGCAGCAATAGACAAGGGTGTTCATACATCTGTTTGAGTGGCAGCTCTGGTTTCTTTAAGATTATATTTTCAGTGGTGGAAGTGGTGGGCCAAATGGTATTTCTATTTCCAACTTTTTAAGAAAGCGCCAGGCTGCCTTCCATAATGGTTGTACCATTTTACACTCCCACCAGCAGTAAATAAGAGTTCCAATCTCTCCACAACCTCATCTGCATTTGTTACTTGCTGCCCTATTGAACTTTGCTTTTGTCGCTGTGGTGAGATGATATCTCATAGTTGTTTTGATTTAAACAAACATTTTAAGTAACATGTAAAAAAAAGACTCTGAAAAGCCCTAAAATTTAAACAATAAAACAGGGGGGGGACGGACAAGTTTTTAACACAGTATGAACCAGTTTTCTACAGGAACCTACCTTTCCCATACACATGTTTCCCAGATCCTATCAATGGAAAAGAGAACTCTGGTGGCCTGTTGTTGTTATGTGCCATCGAGTTGCCTGAAATTCAGTGACCCTATCTATGTACATTAGCTCTGGGCTCTATCCTGAGCAAATCAATCTCATCGTCTCCGACAGACCTAATCCCATTGCTCCAGTCACTAAGTCCATCCATCTCATTTGAGTCTTCCTCTCCTGCACTGTCCTTCTACGCTTACAAGCATGATGTCTCTCTCCAAGGACTGGTCTCTACTGGCGCCGTGCCCAAAGTATGTGAAACAGAGCCTCAAAATCCTTGCCTTCGGGGAGGAGTCTGTTTCGCCCTCTCCAGAACAGACTTATTTGTTCTCCTGGCAGAGTGGTAAGGAAATATGCTGCCAACACAAAGGCATGTGATTCAAATCCACCAGCTGTTCTGCAGGAGAAAGATGGACAATATTCCCCCACATGATTAATTGCCTCTGCAAACTTTCTGGAGGGTCAGCTATGTACTGGTTCTGACTTGATAGTCCATAACAACAACCAACCAATGGGGATGTCCATTATCACTTTATTGATTCCCTGAGTAATTTGATTACTAGTCATAAAGTTTAGTGGATTGAACCCCATCAGAGGTCCCTTGTAAGAAAGGCTTAATCATCTACTTCTGAAAGTTCTACCCTTTGCACATGGGGTTTCTGTGAGTAGGAATCTCCTTGATGGCAATAATATTGTGTGTGTGCATGTTTTGTTGTTGTTGTGCTAAGAACATTCTTTGGCAAATGTCAACTGACTTGATCCAATCCTTCTGTTTCAGAAGGAAAATGGAGAAAACTGAGTCTTAAGAGAACAGATTCAATGAGTGGCAACAGTCACAGCCTGATCAGGGACTCTCCCTCTTGCTTATTTAATGCATCTCAGCAAACATTCATGTGCCAGGCCTCAGCTCAATGTCACTCACTCATTGCCTTGGAATTTGGAACCAACTCACAGCTGAGCTAACAGTGGACTTTTGGAGACTGTGAATCTCAGGTGGAAGATTGCCCATCTTTCTCCCTAAGAGCAGCTGGTGGATTTGAATGACCTTTGGGTTAGCAGTACAACTCTCTATCGACTACCCCATCATAGTGCTCTCAGCTAGATGTCAGGGATGTGAAATTAGGTAAAAGGCTGCTCCTTTGTTCAAGGAATTTATAGACACCACAGAGCAGGTGGATAGAATAAACAAATCTCTAAGCTCTTATGAGATAAGAGCAAAGGTAAAGGTGTAAACTTTGCTTGGAGGGCTGGGGAGGTTTCCTGGAGGCAGTGGCTTTGGAAGTAGGTTTTGAAGAGTAAGATTTTTATGTTGTTTTTTTTTTAGCTTGAGAAGGGAAAAGGGGATCCCAAAATCTCTGTAGATGTTCATTGAAATGAAAAATAAACAACCTAAATTTAAAAAAAAAAGGGAAAAGGGGAGCAAGAGGAAGAGAAGAAAGTATTTTTTTCCTCTTGATTTTA